TTTCAGTTCAAAAAAAGGTTTTTTAATGAAAATATTGTAATAAAACTTTAATTTTATAAGTCTATTTCCATTTATTTTGAGGTATTGCCTTATTTAACATAGTTACCTAAATTGTCAGGAAACGTGATGTCCTATGACAAAATGGAGGTCATTTTCGGATTCAGCGCACCAAAAAACAAAGATTACATGGAATAACCAAAACAGCTCTCGAAAAAAATTTTTTTGCAGACCTGTCAATTAACTTTGACTACTCTTGAATTTAGGATGAAGTTCTTAGGTGCTGAGAGTTTTATATCTGTAGTGACTGAACAGAGTCAGACCTAATGTATTAAAGGAAGAGCAAAAAGTTTTAAGATGCTTATCCTTGAAAACAACCATATGACTTCATGTTCAATCTTGTAGAACTATTGGTCATGTAAAAATGCGAGATTTTTTTCTATTTTTAAATTACTCTGAACAAAGCAAAGGATTGCAGCCTTTTAAAAAGCGTTTATGTTTTTGTTATACAGGTAGTCCAACATTTCTGTTAATTGAGGCACATATTAAGTGAGTTTTGCACCACTTTACGACCTTTCTTGTCACAGTTGTTAAGTGCATCACTGCAGTTGATAAGTTAGTAACCCAATTGTTAAGTGAATCTGGCTTCCCCATTGACTTTCCTTGTTCGAAAGTGGCAAAAGGTGATTACATGACCTTGTAACAAGGCAACGGTCATAAATATGAACCAGTTGGCCAAGCATCTGAATTTTGATTGCATGATTATGGGGAAGCTGTAAAGATCATAAGTGAAAAATGGTCATAAGTCACTTTTTTCTGTGTCATTGTAACTTTGAACAGTCATTAAATGGACTACCTGTAAATATAGTGTTTTTGATAAAGAGAATTTGGGCCTTGGAATGTAGGATTCACTCACGTATATTGTTCATAAAATAAACTTTGATAGTAAATAATGGTAGACCATGGAGCTGGAGCTGTAAACTGACAATCACAGTGGATATAGTGGGTTGATGATGCACACAAGTAGGGATGTAACTGAAGCTAAGTTATAAAACCTCAGTTCTTTTTTAATTCCACCTTTGTTATTTTTATGAATAATTCAAGGAGGCAAACACACACCTTTCACCTATTTTACCCACAACAACAACAACCCTCAATGTGAATTGAGTTGGACTAAGAGAGAGAGGGAGAGAGAGACTGGCCTAAAGTCACCTAACCAGCTTTCATGCCTAGGGCAGGATTTAGTCTCCTGGTTCCTAGTCCATAGCCGTAAATACAAAACCAAACTTATTCCAGAAATCATACTCACTTCATTTCTAGTCTGGTGACATAACCACTAGACCAAAGTGGCACTCTACAGTTCTTACTGTTACTCTTTTCCTGTTGCAGTTCTTACTAGAAAGGTAGCACTTATAAGAGTTTATTGCTTTATGAACTTCTCTCATAAATTGATTATAAACATTTGGCAAGCTGACAAATGTCAAGTAGATTGCTGTCTAAACTTCCATTCATAAAATAAAAGAAAGTTCCATTAAGCCAAACAGGGTAGCCCTATGCGTGTTTGTTCCAGTCAGAGCAGAACAGAATAACAAATTTGGAAGGGACCTTGGAGGTCTTATAATCCAACCTGCTACTCAAGCAGGAAATCCTATACCCATGATCCTATACCTGTGGCACGCAGAGCCCTCTCGGTGGGCTCATGAGCCATCGCCCCAGCTCACCTCCACTGCACATGCATGCGCGCCTCCTGCCAGCCAGCTGGTTTTCGGGTCTCTGCTGTGCATGCACGGGGGAGGAGCACATGCGGGAGATGTGCCGCATGCATGGGGGTGCATGTACGGGGGTAATGCATGCGTGTGGTCGTGTGTGCATGTGCTGGGGATCCCACATGCATGCTTGTGGAAGGGTTGCGCACGCATGCATGAGGGGCAGGAGGCATGGATGCAATGCATGCATGCTTTCAGCACGCAGCAACAAAAAGCTTAGCCATCACTGTCCTATGCTGTGTCAGACAAATGGCTGTCCAATCTCCTTTTAAAACTCTCCAGTGATGGTGCACCCATAACTTCTGAAGTTCCCACATAATTCCCACTGATTGATTGATTCTTCCTAGAGACATGTACATTTGATACACTTCCATGTTTCTGATTTTTAAAAAGGCCCATTTGCTAAAGGTCTTATTCAATTTTTAAAAATATATGCTGCATTCATGAGTCTTTTTTTAAAGAAAATAGTTTAATAGTTTAAGTCCTGAGACCTAATGTTGAAACACTGCCCATTTCTGAGCTGGATATATAACAAAAATATATATAAATATTTTATAGCACCATAAACGTGCATGGTATTTCCCATTCACTCCAAAATATGTGTTTTTGCACTGAGAAGCTTATAGCTGAATTGTGGACTCTCCAAAGAAGAAACGTCAGTGAGCATGTCGGAATGAATTTTTCGTGCGTATGAAAGTTTTTTATACGTGTTAAAACAAGTGCTGGGCTGACCAATGTCTGTGAATTTTGTGTGAATAACCACTCGCGAAGAGCTTTCTATCTTCTGCCCTGTTGCTATGCTTTCTAGTAGCAACCATTCACTCTTCGGAGTATCCTATTGACAAACGCAGCGTATAACGCCAACCGGTTCAATATCTTCAAGATGCGAAGAAAAAGAAAACCCATTTTCACTCTCAGGATCTGCAATTCAGAAAAACTGGCTTTTCAATATCACTCCCTCAATACGGTCCTGCTCCCAACACCGTGCGGGCGATTTCCCAACCGAGTCTCTTCTTCGATCGTCCGAATTCGTTACAAGTTTGCAAAACTCGCTCCGGATCGGAATGGGAACAAACAAAACAAAACGTCGGGTCAAGTCGAACCGGTTCTGTTTCGAGGCCATCAGAAAACTGTCAAGCATCCGTGACAGTCATTGGGGGCAGAGGATGCAGACGATACTCTCCACGCGCGTTCACTCCGCCGTCATCCGAAACTCTCCCGCTTGGGGAAAAGGAAAGCGAGACTTAAAGACGCGCCGTCTGCCTCGCCCAGAAGTTACTTCGCTCGCCCCCGCTCTCCGGCTTTCCTCTTTTTTTTATTCCCCCCCCACACACCCCTCCCACAGTCACGGAACCCGGAAGTTTGTGTGTGAGCGCGTCTTTCTGCGTGGTGGTTGGCGTTTCGTTTCGTTTCTCTTTTTTTTTAATTTCTATCACATGGCAGCGTGCGAGAGAGATACAATAAAAACAGAAAAATGGCGACAGTCACGTTGTGGCGACTCTGTGCTGCGTCATTAGATAATCTTCGCGCAAAGAAAGCTAAAGAACAAAGACGAGAGAGAGCGCGAGGGGGGTGGAAAGCAGCGCATCTGGAAAGGTGGGTGGGCGAGAGGCAGAGGCTTGCCCAGAGCGCGCGGGGAGCCGACGGGCGGGCGGGAGCGCGCGGGGGGAGGGAGACGATTAGGGAGGGAGGGGGGAGGTGAGCGAGCGCGTTTATTGCAGGGCACCGGGGTTGGCATCCCAACTCTTTTATTTTTTTCCCCCCCTCCATCCGCCCGCTCGCGAATTCGGCTTCACGGAGCCTCGGGGGAAAGTCCTGCGAGAGGTTGGTGGGTTTTGACGCGAGGGGGGCAAAAAGCTTGCATTTGTCTCGGGGAGGAGGGGCGGCGGCGGCAAGCTCCGGCGCGAGGTGTCGATGCCTGTCCCTCCTTTCCCCCCATCCTTCTGCTTTAATAAACGCGACCCGCAGCTGAGCGAGCAAGCGGGTTTTTGGCGAGCTGAGCGTTTCCCTTCGCAGTTGAGGATTCTGCGCTCTAACTACTAGGCGTCCGGGCGACCGCCGGCGCGCTTTGGCTAAAGGGAGCCCATGTTCGGTTTTTGCCTTTTCTTGGGATCGCGAATGGGGGGGGGGGTGTTAAAAGACCGAAGAGAGGCTCGGGCCCGGGACTGGAGGGGGACCCGTCCCATCCCTGGCATGTGATATAACCCCTCGTCCTCGAATGGATGCTTCTGAGGAGAGAGGTTTGCTCGGCGACCGCTTGACCGGCGGGCTGGAGCGAGCGAGGAAAGCGAGGGCAGTGCGGGGAAAGGAAGGCGTCCACTCCGGAGGGCGTCGTGGTGCCTCTTAAAATGTGGCGCACTATTATTTTCCCTCAGACTCCTGGCCCGGTTCCTTTCCAAGTCAAGTGATTGTAAATATAGCCCGGGTGTTGTTTACATGAAACCATCCAGGGGGAGGAGCGCAGAGAGGAGGAAGAGGAAGGCGGAGGAGGCTTCCCAGGCTGGCAGGGGTGAGTTATCCCTAAAAGGAGGAGCTACCAGTTAACACTGAGGGCCGGAGGCTCGGACCATTGGTGTCGGTATGCGCGCTGGTGGCGAGCGCCTCCTTCGCCACTGGTGGCTGCCCTCCGCGCTCCTGCTGTGGTCGAAGTGCCTGCCTGGCGGGCGACTCCGGTTGCTCTGTCCGGGCTTGGCTTGTCCTCCAAGATGATCTCGGCCTTTTCTTTTTTTTCCCCCTCTAAGTCCGCTCATTTCGGTTTTGAGCTGCTGAGGTATGGAATGGCTTAGCCGGGGCTTCCCACCAATAAAGCAGCTGCACCTGCGGGGTCTCTGGGTGTGATCAAATAGCAATAGCACTTAGACTTGTGTACCGCTTGGTAGTTTTTACAGCCTTCTCTAAGCGGTTTACAGAGTCAGCCTATTGCCCCCAACAGCCTGGGTCCCTTGGACCTTTCCAGATTTATGGACCTGCGGATTCCCGTGTTCCCAGCCAGGATGGCTTTCCCTAGTGCAGTGGTTGCCAACCAATGGTCCGTGTACCACTGGTGGTCCATGAGAAAATTTTAGTGGTCCGCAGAAAAAATATGTGCATTTTGCACTAAATACTGTTTATCTTTTTTAAAAATTTCTATTAGTGGTCCACGGGATTTAAAATTATGAATTTAGTGGTCCCTTAGTGGTCCCTGAGGTCCAAAAGGTTAGTGAGCCCTGCTCATAACAATTAAAATTTCCCAATGCATTCCTTTGGAAAAGGGCATGATTTTAGACTTTTACTGGTTGTTCCATCTTAAAATCCTTTCCCGCCTCCTTCCTGGCCTCATGACCCCAAAGTGAATGATCAGGGCTTGGAAAGAATTACAGAAGTTGTGTTCTACATGGGTTCCCTACCTTGTTATTCCTTCCAGTCCAGCAAAATCCAGGAAAGAGATTACGTAAAGAGACTAGGGACTTTGTTTATCAACAGGATAATACTTGGAAAACAAAACTGGATTGGCAGGAAATTCCAATAGAAGAACTGTGAGTTTGAATAGGGACTGGATCTGGACAAGAACTGCAAATCCCTAATATATCCCAATGGAAGTAGTAGTTGGGCAGTGGGCTCAGAATGTGGTTGGCTCCTCATTCTAAGCCCCCTCCTTCCCAGAGTGTAGCTGTAATTTAAGGCCTTGGGAAGAATTCCAGAAGCCATGCTTTTCATGTTTCTCATAAATTTTGCCTTCGCAATACATTTTTACCATTAGCCTATCCTAGCTACCTAGTGAATGCATGATTGGGCTGTAATAAGTATCATTATGTCTCAGTAACTTTTTTTTTTCTGTATCGCACTTTCCTCACAATTGAGATGAAGTGCTAACTCACCCATTTTGGAATCCTCAAAGGGCTCTGTACAATAAGCATTAAAAACTACTATCCCCATACAGATCTCTAGCCTCATTGCCTGTGATTAAAATCATTGCCAATCATCTAACTTCCTGTAAGGAACTATGCAAGTTTTATATACCTTGAGACAGTCCTAGCTGATGTTAGAATGAGTGGAAATCTACTACTTAATCACCTGTACAGCTAATTTGCCTCACTCATGGGCAGAAATGAAGCGAAAGTGATATAACAAAAATGTAGCAAGCAAAGTGACTTTTGTCACTTACTCAGTTAACTATAAGTAGAGAAAGGACATAAAGTCTTGGCATGTTACAGAAAAAAACCTGACATGCTGACTGATCCTAGGTATATTTGCTCAGATTTCAATACAATAAGAGACCTATTTTTGTGTTTACAATTGCAGGCTTAACCCTAAACTTGTTTTAATCTGCGGCATCCCTGTAGTATCTTTCCATCACCCACTGATTTGGCATTGGTTTTTAGGCCTGAGCTGCTGCACCTTCTAGAAATTAACTACTATATCTAAAGAAGTCTGAATTAATTAATACTTGTCGTTCTGATGTTAAAAAGTAAGGGATGTAAGTAGTCCCCAGAAATATTAACTCAAAAATCCAGTTGACATTTCCATTTTCTCTTACTATTCTGTTGCAGTTCATACTTCTATGCCTGACAACTTGCATCTCACTATCTTATGCATCTCATCTCTGTTATCTCTTCTGGTTACGTTTTGCTTTATAACATGGTTTTTAAAAAATAAATCTAGCAAAGAGAAGGATTGTCCAGGGCCTCCCTTGTTCATATCTCGAAGCAGAAGTGCTGGGATTGTAATGCTGGGATTGTTAGATCCAATTTTTCGCTTCACAATGATGGAATAGGTTATATTTTAACAAAATATAGGAGTGTTTGTTCTCTCTGGCCGGTAAGTAACAAAAGTCCAGGTCTATGACCTTGATTCTTTTATTGCAGCATCTGTGGTTTTGATGGAACTTTTTTGTAAATACAGAGAAGAAGTTCTAAATGTATTTGTGAATAGAATTTGACTTCTCTATTAGTCTTATTTCTCCCTCCCTCTGTCTGTTACCCCCAATAGGCAGTGAAGAAGTAAAGATGCCTTATGCCTTTTTCTGAGGAATACAGCTCCTACTGTTGCCAGCGTCAAATCTGTAAGCATTTCTCTGTGGGCTTGTTTGTTTGGGCTATGAGGCTTTGATGGAAAAGAAACTAGGATTGCATGTCAGCTATGACTGACAGTAATAAGATGCTTGTGAGATGAATGTGTTGAATTATATATGTTTAGTAGTCTTGACAAGACAAGTATCATTTGGGGTAGATGAGACTTCTGTCTCTCACAGAATTCTTAAGCAAATATTAAAAATAATATAGTTGAAGACAGTGGTATTTTTAAAAGCAGAGTCTAGCAAGAAATATGTACAACATTTTGCAGATAGATGGTGCAGTTGAGATTTAGGATGTGAATATGATGTTGTGATTTATCCGTTTCCGTATGTTTTGCTCTTTATCTGCAAACAGTGGTCTTTTTAATTCTGCAGTCTAATGTGTACTTAACTTAAAGTATTTCTAAGTAAACATGCTAGGCTTGGCTTGTATGTTGTGGATCTTGAATGGGTAAGATGTAATCCATAGCTTGGTTACAGTCTTTCAAAAAAACACTTTTTATCTCCTTCAGCATCTATTGCCTAGAAAGAGAAGAGTGGAAATCAGATATGGGAAATCAGAGCAAACAAAAGACAACTAAGTAAAAATATAACAATATGTAAATATTTAGGTAAATATTTATAATTTAGATAAAATATTTATGTAAAAATATAGTAATAAGTAAATATTTAAAGGGACTTGGGGGCTCAGTGGCTAAGACGCTAAGCTTGCCGATCAGAAAGGTTGGCAGTTCAGTGGTTTGAATCCCTAGCACTGTGTAACAGGGTGAACTCCCATTCGAAGGCATGTAAAAATGCAAGTAGAAAAATAGGAACCACCGTTGGTGGGAAGGTAACAGCGTTCTGTGCGCCTTCGGCACTTAGTCATGACCATGGAGACGTCTTCGGACAGAGCTGGCTTTTCAGCTTTGAAACAGAGATGAGCACTACCCCCTGGAGTCGGAAACGACTAACACATATCTGTGTACCTAAATATGAGAGCCAGTTTGATCTAGTGGTTAAGGCACAAGGCTAGAAAGTAAGAAATGGTGAGTTCAAGTCCTGCCTCCACTACACAGAGAGGTTGGTGTTCTCCAGCTTGAGTTATTTGTAAAAATAATAAAGGTAGAATGTGTATGTGTGTGTGTGTAATGAAAATAAAAAAATGTAGAATAAAGAAATCTTAATGACTGACTTATTTTAAGATGGAAATTTTTCAGAAATTAAATTGGCCAAAAGGATTTAATTTTTTTTTTTTGTAAACAGAAAACACATGAGAGGGATCTAGCTAATTAAGTTTATAGAAAAATGCATTGGCTTTGATTATGCTTACTTAATGCCTGTTCTTAAAACAATAATGTTGCAATGTGTACATCTGTATTTTTCACCCCTAATTAATTTACCAGCTTCAGATCTATAGATTTTCTTTTTCTTTTCTCTTTTCATAGCATCTACAGTGCTTTCAGGCCTTAATAATACTACATAGCATAGGCATAGATGGTTAAATTACATAGCACAGGCATAGATGGTTAAATTGAGAACACCTTCTGCTCAAACTTCCCTGAAATGAGTCAATTATTTTAGTAGAGCTTGTACTCAAGTTCCCAGTGGATAATGTTTCATATTTTGGTCAAGGTTACAGGGAATTCTTTCTAATCACACTCTAATGCATTTCCATCAATTTAAAAGTGGTTAAGTATAAAGATTGAAAAAGTTCATGCTGCTATGCAGAAGGTAGGACCTGTACTTCAATGGAAATGTAAAAGAAAGATAAATTATGTATTTAAAGGCAGACATGGAATGTTTATTCAATCGTATTATTGACACCTTTTGCAGCAGTTGAGGAAGAGACTATAGAATTTTAGTAGTATAAAGATTGCCTATCATAGCTTTTTTTGCATATAAATTTAGTCAGAGTAAACTACTTTACATTTCAGTGAAGCAGGACAAAGAGTTTAGGCAAAAGACGCAGTAAGATTTTCACCAAACTTTTAAAAAAATGTTTCCCAAATATACCAAATTAAATTGTTTGGCGGGGGGGGGGGAGGCGACCTTCAGGGCATTTTAACATTTGTTATTGTGGTTACTTTTTAATCTCTTAGAATCACTGTAGCAACCATATCAATGAATGCTAATCAAATATTTGAAGGACTTAGATTTGTCTTTGGCACGTGCCTCCAAATTTGCTTATTTATCTGTCTATCATAATAACACCCTTTGGGTACCTAGCTAGCAAAGATAGGAGGAACTTCTGGGAACTGAAGTCTTAAAAGTTGCCAGGATTGAGAAACTGTTATACAGAGGAATGTGTGGTTTATAACTTGAGAAAGAAGAGGAAGCTTAGCTGCCCTTAAACTGTTTTCCTTAGGTAAGTTCCAGACATAACTACCACATACGCCATTGAGTCAGTCTTGACTTCTATGTCCCTGGGTGCCTTTGGACTAGCTCAGTTTAAACCTACCTCACAGGGTTGTTATGGTGACAGAATGGGGAAAAGGAGCACAGGGAATGTACCCACGAGCTTCTGAATGGAAAGCTGGGAATTAACTCACAAATAAAAATAGATCTAAGGCACACCCCAGGTTGTTGTGTCTGGGAATTCTGGCAGTTGCTCTCCTAAAACAACTGAGAGGTTACTGTGTTCAGAAAGCTTGCACTGAGCCATGATTTAATGTTATATGAATGAGTTCTCCAGTCCTTCATCATGACTAAATTGAAGACATCACCAGTTTTCAATTACATTTTTTAAATCAGAAACTATTTAATGATACATCCACACCTTAAATAAACTAGGTATATTAATGTTTGAACTTAAAATGCAAAATAATACTTTCATTTTTTATGCAGCCATGCTAAAGGAGGGTTAAGTAAACACATTCAAATCTGAGTGTGCTTTACATGATGTTGATCCATAATGTATCAGCATATTATTATATTATTATTAAGGCTAAGGTATATAAAGTAATGTAGCAAATTTCTTTACACCAAATAGATTACTAGTCTATTTATTCTAGCATTGTTTGTTTTGAATAGAATTTTCCAGGAACCTCCTTCAGTTCCATCTGAAGATCCACCACCAACTGGATATGGAATTAATGCATCTAAAAAAAGTAGGTTACAATGATATGTTTCATTGTAGATCAAAAATCTGCATCCGGTCCAAATGCTACAGTCTATTTTAAACTTTGGAATGCTATTTCTGAGCAGAGGAAAATAATAATCTCATCTTGTTATAATTATTTCCCCAACATGTCAGCATCGTCTGAAGAATTCAGAATTTATATGCACATCCTTAAGCAATAAAACTTATTCATTTGGATGGTGGGGAATGGCCAGCTGTCTGCAAGGAATATAAATCCTTCCATTCCCCACCATCCTGTCAGAGCTGAAGAAGCTTCTTGGGTGAGAAGGAAATGTCTTCAAAAGAAAAAACAAAGTCCAGTTGCCTCTTGAAAAAGCACCTTTGGGACATCCGTGATCTGGATGACTGAGAAACTTCATAGACATTTAGCTATGCATTTTGGGATGAACACCCTTCGAATAATAATAATACTCATGAATGGATTTCCAGAAAAATTGCAGACTACATGAGCCATTTGCATTTCAGTTTGAGATGCAGACAATACAGATTCATCCCTAACAGCCTGCGCCTGTCCTCAAGAGTGAAGGGACACAGGGCAGAAAACATCCTGCAGCCAAGAAGGCTCCACAGCCATTTGCACTACTCAGCTGACCCTGAGGACACAGATAAACAAAAAAAGAATGTGAATGCGAAAGAATGCAAATGGCCAGCTGTCTACAAGGAATATAAATCTTTCCCTTCCCCACCATCTTGTCAAAGCTGAAGACGTTTCTTGAATGAGAAACAAAATGTCTTCAAAAGAAAAAAATAAGTTGCTTCCTGTAAAAGAACTTTTGGGACAACTGAATAAGTAAAGACAGCCTTTTATCAATAGTAGACTGTTGCTTCAGACTATCCCATAATCTCTTAAAGGTGCTTTTTCCAAAAGGCAACTGGACTTCTTGGTTTTTTTTTCCTTTGAAAATGTTTCTCTTCTTATCCAAGAAGCTTCTTCAGTGAACTGAAACATTTAAAAAAAACACACAAGGAAATCCAGTTGCCTTTTGGAGAAAAAAACATCTTTGAGACAACAATGACCTGGATGATTGATAATCCCCATAGATATGATCTCCCTTGATCTTAGGTGAAAAGCTGACTTAAAATCAACAAAAGTTATTAAAAAATGGTTTAGGGTTAGGCACAGATTGGCACAATAATAATTCTATTCCTGTGTAGAAGATACATTAAAGATATTACAAAGATACTATATTCATTCAAGTAAACACGATTATACAGTTGATTCTATCTGTCTCTCTACAGCTACTGGTTGTCAAATATCAGAGAAATCTTAGGTTCTAGGTATATTTACATATGCTTTAGTGAGGGCATCAGGCTAATGAAATCAGTCTTTGTGCTGCACAGTGCAGATATAATTCCTAATGATTTGTAAATAATCCATAGATTATTTACTATAGAGACTCCTTGACCTTTACTTGGGTGTTTTGCCCACAGATTGTATGGGAATACAATAAGGGAAATCTCTGCCTCTGGTTTATTTACACATGTTGATTTTGTTTGAACCCTTTACATGTCTGTCTCTATTTGCACTAATATAGGTTTTGGGGAAGATACAGATAGATACAGATTAAAAGAGTTGGAAGGGACCTTGTAGGTCATCTAGTCCAACCCCTGCTCAAGCAGGAGACCCTACAGCATTTCTGACAGATGGCAGTCCAGGCTCTTCTTGAAAGCCTCCAGTGATGAAGCTCCCACAACTTCTAAAGGCAACTTCTGTTCCATTGCTTGATTGTTCCCACTGCCAGGAAACGTCTCCATATTTCCAGGTTGAATATCTCCTTGATCAGTTTCCATCCATTATTTCTTGTCTGGCCTTCAGGTACTTTGAAAAATAGCTTGACCCTCCTCTTCTCTGTGGCAGCCCCTTAAATATTGGAACATTGCTATCATGATTCCCCTGGTCCTTCCCTTCACTAGACTAGCCATGCCCAGTTCCTGTAACCATTCTTCATATGTTTTAGTCTCCAATCCCTTAATCATCCAGGTTGCTCTTCTCTGAACTTTTTCTAGAGTCTATATATTATTCTATATATTATTACTATTATTATATTATATAATATATAAGATGCACATGAGTTTACAAAAATAAAATACAGATAATTCTCAACTCACACAAGTGAGACCAGAATCATCCATCCTGAAATCCAAGCAGGATTTTGGCATGGAGTATTTGCAGCATGGAGTGGCAGCAGCCCCCCCCCCAATCCCCCCTCAAAAAACCCTCAAAGAAGACTCATTTCTGGAGGCATGCTGTAAATGTCCCGTGCTGTAAAAACTTACTTTTGAATGGTCGCTGAATGAATGGTTGTAAAGGGAGGTTTTGAAGAGGCTTTTTTTTAAGTAGGTAGGTAGATAAAGGGATAGAGAAAGAGAGAGAGAGAGAGAAATACAGTAAGGAGGTAGCGAGAGAGAGAGAGTAGGTAGATAGGTAGATAAAGGGAGAGAGGAAGAGAAAGAGAAATACAGTAGATAGGGGGAGAGAGAGAGTAGGTAGGTAGATAAAGGGATAGAGAGAAAGAAATAGAAATAGAGAAATACAATAGGTCAGTAGAGAGAGAGGGTAGGTAGAGAGAGAAATAGAAAGAAATACAGTAGGTAGGAAGAGAGAGTAGGTAGGTAAGTAGATGCTTCCAGGTGTATTTATCCATGTGCTGGAGAAGGAAATCACTGACAATCTGCAGCACTTAAGACTGTTTCTGCTGGCACAGCACTTGATCAATCTAATTCTCATCAATCAGTTAAAAGAGCTTTCCAAAAGGGAAAAAAAAGTGTTTGCACTCTGCAAACCTCCCAAAAATGGCCCGTTTTTTTTTTCTCCAAAAAGCATGAATAGCCTTGGGGGGACCAAAAATGAGCAAAAAAAACATTTTTCACAAAAATGGGTCCATTTTTGTCAAAAGAATTGCATGCATAGCCTATAGAGTGCTGCTGGGGGGGCAAAAAATGGCCCTTTTTTGCTCATTTCTGCCCTCCCCAACCCCCAGGAGCTCTCTGAAAGCCTCCATAAGGTATGCATGGCTATTTTGGTGGGGGGGGGGGCAAAAATGCTGTATTCGATGTGTAAGACACACCCAGATTTTCAGCCTCTTTTGAGGAAAAAAAGGTTCATCTTATACTCCGAAAAATACAGTAATCAATTCAGTGGGTTGTCTCTGCTTTTTGTCCTAACTTTTTTTAAAGGGTTGAGCATTTATTGGATAGGTTTTCATCTCATTAGTGCCCTCTTGTGGTTTTCTTTAAAAAAATGTTTCTTTTCAGGTGTGCATCACATGGCAGCTTTCAGTCAGAACTTGAGAGGAGAGGTGAGTTTCCTCCACTTCTGTTCCCTGGACTCTGTCCAAAAGTCCAGTCCTGACAGCATAACTGGCCATAAAAATTATTTACTTTATAGCAGATAATTAGGAAAACCTTACGGATAATAAGAGCAGGTGTATGCAGTCTTTTGCTGTGTGGAACTGCACTCAAAACCATTAAGATACCACAGTAGAGTACATACTGATGTAAGTAAGTGGTTGTGTCAGGCTTAGAGGAACCATTTGACAGATGAAGTGTCTTTTTTTCCAACTTGGTGAACCTGTTTTAGCTTTTGGCAGGCTTCTGAGCTAAAAATCATAGGAGTCCCAAGTTTAGCACTAAACTGTATTTTTATTTGTAATGTGCCCCAGGGATTTCTTTTATAGGAAACCCTATACATCTGTTTTGTAAAAAACAGGTCTGAGCAGAATTGTTAGCACAAGGGTCAGCAACCTGAGGCTCTGGAGCCGCATGTGGTTCTTTCATCCCTCTGCTGCAGCTCCCTGTCGCCGGTCGGCTCCACAATTGATAGGGCTTTCGATTAGGACAGATAGAGGAAAAAGGACGTCGTGCTAGGAGGAGACTCTATGGTGGGGGAACCAGACTTCCAGTCAGTTCCAGAAATGAACGGGGGGCTTGCAGTTAGAACCTTTGTGGCTCTTTGAGTATTTAAGGTTGCCAATACCTGAGTTAGTGCATCCTTAAGTGCACTAACTTTGCATTAATTTGAACAAAGTTGTGAAAAAAATATCTAGGGCCTATGTTATTGATATGGGTGGCCAAAAAATATAAGTTCCAGAGATATTTTCCTTTTTTCTCATCAGAAATCTATGTTGCAAGCACTAATTTGCATGGTTCAGTTATCATTTTATCAATAAATATACAAACAATATTTTGTTTAATAATTTTCTCTTTAGTTACGCATAATTAACTATAGTATATTCATTTGTTCAGCACAGTGAGCGAATGGATATACTATTCAGGCAAGGCTTCTGCTTATATGTATTTAATTGTCAGGTATGTCTGAAACAGCAACATAAAGCTTTCAGGAAGTTTGGAGTTCATCATAGTCTACTTTTTTTGAACCCACAGCTATGGATCAACTGATGGAACCTGACCTTGGGGTTATCTGATGGTATGAAGTCAGGCAATGATTGACAGGCTGCCCTGGCTCAGTTATCACTGTGCTGATGCTGTCTATACTAAAGGTACAGTACTGTGATAACTGAAGGATGGTAGCCATCTTAGCTTCAGAGGAATTCAACATGTGGCGATCAAAGTCATTACTTTATTCTGTAACACTTGTGATGTTTTATAGATGAAGATTAAAGAGAACACATCTGGATGCTGGAAAAACACATGTACAGTTAAAAAATAAAGTCCTAAATACCATAAATTGTACTTAGGACTATTTTATGTTATATTTTTGAATTAATAATTAGCCCCACATTAAGCATTAATTGGTTTATCTTAACCACACTTAAGACTTGTAAATCCAGAGAGAATGACCCCAAAGAAAAATCCAGTATATGTTTGTTCTGCCTGCAAAGCTCTCTTTTGTGTATTTCAGAAGAAACATGGAAAGACAAGGCACTTTTCAAATCCCTGTTTAAAGGTGGGGGGGGGAGTCTAAAACTGTTATTAGGTGCATATATATGAACTTTCTAAAAGGGTTTTTTTTTTTGGCCATCCAAACCTGTAGTGTTAAAAACAGACCACAAGAGGGGGTCCGAGCATTTGTGTTTCAACAAATTTACATTTTCCTCAGAAGAATCTGAAGAATGTTTAGCAGCTCCAGGGGACCACCAGCATGCTCCAGACACAAATAAAAACTCAAAACAGATATAACATTTCCATTCAATTATTATTTTATAAAGGGGCATAAACATAGGAAAGATGTTTTGTGGAGCTTAAGAGATATTCTTGAAATTTAACTTTAAAAATATGGCAAG